ATCTGTCCGTTTATTCGTGTATTCACCGCCCGAGCATTGTGAACGTTAATCTGTCCGTTTATTCGTGTATTCACCGCCCGAGCATTGTGAACGTTAATCTGTCCGTTTATTCGTGTATTCACCGCCCGAGCATTGTGAACGTTAATCTGTCCGTTTATTCGTGTATTCACCGCCCGAGCATTGTGAACGTTAATCTGTCCGTTTATTCGTGTATTCACCGCCCGAGCATTGTGAACGTTAATCTGTCCGTTTATTCGTGTATTCACCGCCCGAGCATTGTGAACGTTAATCTGTCCGTTTATTCGTGTATTCACCGCCCGAGCATTGTGAACGTTAATCTGTCCGTTTATTCGTGTATTCACCGCCCGAGCATTGTGAACGTTAATCTGTCCGTTTATTCGTGTATTCACCGCCCGAGCATTGTGAACGTTAATCTGTCCGTTTATTCGTGTATTCACCGCCCGAGCATTGTGAACGTTAATCTGTCCGTTTATTCGTGTATTCACCGCCCGAGCATTGTGAACGTTAATCTGTCCGTTTATTCGTGTATTCACCGCCCGAGCATTGTGAACGTTAATCTGTCCGTTTATTCGTGTTCTCACCGTCTGAGCCTCATGAACGTTTACTGTCCGTTTATTCGTGTCCGAGCCTTGTGAACCTTAATCTGTCCGCACAGAGATATTGGGTTTTCGGACTTTATCCATCGCGATGGTTTTTAACCCACTATCTCTGTGTGTTATACACCATCGTCAGAATCCTATAGTAACTAGTTAATCTGTCCGTTTATTCGTGTCCTTACCTTCAAAGCTTTATGAACATTAACCTGCCCGTTTATTCGTGTCGTCGTCGTCAATGTTTCCGTTTATTCATCTCCTCACCGTCCGAGCCTTGTTAACGTTAATCTGTCCGTTTATTCATGTCCTCATCGTCTGAGCCTCATGAATATTTACTTGTCTGTTTATTCGTGTCCGAGCCTTATGAACCTTAATCTGTCCGTTTATTCATGTCCTCACCGTCTGAGCGCCATGAACATTTACCTGTCTGTTTATTCGTGTCCGAGCCTTATGAACGTTAAGCTGTCCGTTTATTCGTGTCCTCACCGTCCGAGCCTTATAAACGTTGGCCTGTACATTTATTCATATCCCCAGCATCCGAGCCTTATGAAGATTTCAGAATGATACGTTTCGTTAACGAGTTTCTAGCGCCTAGTAATGAAGTAACTGGTTCCGTGTGTAATGGAATAATATAATTAACGAAAGGCAACATGGAGTTAGCGTGTTGGGGAAAACAGAGGTGTAGTTCGCAACCTTGCCACCAGGGAACAAAGCAGGTCGAATTGTGGGAAGGTCTGGTAAGGCTTAACGTCGTATTTTCTGTCTTTGTTTCGCTCCTGTTTTGTGTCTTATACTGCAGAATTCGCAAAGAATTGCTGAACGTCTGTCTGTTTTCCACACGTGTCAGCCAAAGAAACCAACTGAAAGAATTGTCATGAAATCTGATCCCTACATTGCGGCATTTGAGGCTACTCAGATTCGTAGTGTTTAGCCTAATTTCATTATTTTGAAAAAATAAATAAGGCTTATGAGATCTCCTTGCTGTCTGTGTGTCTCTGTCCCCCTACAGACGCCTGAAAGCTAGAAGAGATGACCGTCCCTAGGTAACGACTCGGCCAACAATTTCCCGCGCCAACGATTACATACGCAACAAATAATAACTGGTGGACTTCGTGTTTTCTGTTTGGTCCGTGTCGGATATATTACTCAATATGCGGTGTAGATCTGTGGACTTCTGATGGTCGTTAGTAGTGCGGCACTCGGAATCAAGAATGGCTGGTGGCGAGGGTCAGTAGCAATTTACCCTACCGACCTGACCGATTAGTTCTTCCCAGAACTTGTAAGTTGTTACGCTCGGCGTTACCAATGTTGCGGACACGCGAACTTGTGAGTTGGGACCGAACCAGCGCCAATACGGAAGTGCGGTAACCATTGCAACCCTGGGAAGATTAATACGAAATATCGATACAAAATGTATAAGTGAAATTTACCCGACCAATTGCGTACATTTTGTTGCGAAATGTGCTTATGCATTGGGACATGTACTATATTCGTGTGAGCGGTGGCTTTGCGCCCTTCCTGCACGAGGCCTCACAGCCCGCCACCCCGCTCTCGTATCGACTCGCGTTATTCCGTTCACTCTTCATGACTACTGCGGTATAGCCTTCCGGTAGGCCCCACTTCGTTAATCATTGATTATTGGGGGGGGGGAGTGATGACATAACAGTTAGATATTGGTTGAGCAAGCTGTCTTGGTGTACAGCTGTGTACTGTATGAAGGGACTGGAGAAAACGAAGACCAAAGCTGGCCAGTTTAGCAAATTGCCCACCTGGTGTTCGTATCGGATATCCCTGATTTCGAAGCAGGAGTGCCAATCAGTACACAGAAACAAAACAGCGTTCCTAACACTTTAAAGGACAACCTTTAACTGTACAGGCCACCTGCTTAAGGATGTATAGGAGATACTTAAAAGTGGTACAGAATGGATAAAAATTGTATAGATACTTGTAGTTTGTTCGTTTATTCTGAAATCTAAAAAAGAAAAGGAGTCAATTCACTAACGCGTTCAAAAGTTACTGCACTTATAGTGTTCACTAAATTTACACGTGATCTTATGGAAGTTCGACACCCCATACGTTGTAGTAAATGAAAAACACGTAAAAATTAGTACCATGATTTTCAGAATTTTTACACTTTAATTTTAGACTTTAGGAGTAATGTTGCAAAATCACATTTACATTCACTGCACCGTTCAGGAGAAATTAATAATAATGTATTGAAATTTTGACTTTTACTCGATTTGCAAGCTGTTCACTGTAGAAGTGCGGCAACATTGGAAACAGTTACAGAGCAGCGTAGCGGAAACTGTAGCGAGTTTTCTGTTGAGCGAGTCTTTTGTCTTTATTTAACTGCTTATATTATGACCATCGACACAAGTAATATGGAAATATCTTCAATTAAAACAATAGGTGTTGGTATATGTCTTATGTGTTTAACATAAACGTAATTGTGCTAAATGTTTCGACCATATAATTAGGTCATCATCAGGCACTTATCGACATAACTCAGGTGATTAAAATATTGGTTATAATACGGATCCTTATTCTTGCAACTGATGTCTGTGTTTGTAGCAAACAAATATTTTCGATTTAGTATACAGTTCATTTTTATGATTATGATTAAAACATAAAGATTCAAGATAAAATAAACATATTAAAAATATTAAATATATATAAATTACATAACAATTAATTGTATACTTTATTTAAAACTCAGGTAGATGCTGTGCTTAGTCATGTGCAGTCTTCAATTGCCGTGTGTTGGTATGCTGAAGTGGGGGGGAAGTGTTATTTCTCTCTTGTTGTCGTGCAGATCATATTACTGAAATCAAATAATGTTATATGGATATTATATAGATTACAGTTTAATGTTGTTAGATAAAAAAGAAGGGAGGGATATTTAAATATTATATACACAACAGGATGCAGTCTGTAGAGCCTTTTCTCATATGTACTTTTAGTCACTGTTCTTCCTTGGACATCATCGTGATGCATGAAAAACACAACGTAACAAAGAGAAATGCAGCGGCGATTAAGCTACAACTGTACAACGCGCTAACTAAAGCTTCAGTTGTGGCGTTGGTCCGCTCGTGTGGTACCACTGAACTGCGCAAGGCAGCCAACTTGCGGAAAACTGCAGTGTTGTCAAGTTTCATTGTTCTTAAAGGATAGTTCAGTAATCGAAAAGAATAAAATTAAGTTAATAGTTTTCATATAATAAGTAAGAACAATTTTATTTATATTAATACGTGATTCACCACTTTGTATAAAAAATAATTTAATTAAAATTCAACAATTTTTGTCAGGTTCGATTCAGAGATTATTCACCCTCAAAAGTTTTATTATAATGAGTGATATAAATGATAAACGTAGCCCAAAAAGTAATAATACAAAAAAAAAGACTCTCACATTAATATCTGGAACTCTGTCACATCGCTTTCGACTTTAAGACCTGCAAAATACAGGATATTCGTTAAACTGGAACTTACGCTACTGTTGTCTAAGATTGTATCTGCTATACAGCCTAAAAGATTCGAAATTGAAAATTGAGTTTTATTTTCCCCATGCAATATATTTGTATTTCTGTGTTTGGTAGGCCGTGCCATAGCTCGGGTGGTCAGTCACCGGCTTCTTACCATGGCGGCCTCGGTTCAAGCCCAAATCAAGTCATGTGGGATTTTAAGGTTATGTTTTAGCATCCTGTTGTGTTGGTGTATCTTTTATAGTCTTTTTCGTCTATAATGCAACAAATTAATAACATTAATTCACATTTAATTCATACAATGATCGTTAAATGTATAAAATTTTATTGAAATTACTAAATATTAAAATATATATACAGTTGTTATACTGCTACATATTTCGGCCTTACAAGGATTTTAGTTCACTGTACACTAATCATATAGCATTCCCAAGATACGTCGTTGATGTTCCTTTATATTTTGATCCTTTTTGAATTGCGTATTTTTTTATGTCATGTTAGATGTGTTGAGTTCCGTTGTGCGTTTCTTGCGTTGTCGTGCGCTCCTTGTATTGATTGTGGGATTTGCGATGGAAAGAATGGCAGTGGGGCAAGTTTTCCCCCAATACTTCGGTTTCCCCTTCTAATTCTCATTCCACTGACTGCTCCACACGCATCATCTTGGGCTGGTACAAAAGGCCAGTTAGTGGCCAACGTATCAAATGGACTCAGCTCCACTTCACCCCCAGAAACCAACTACGTGTTCGGTATGTCAACATCGTGTTTACCCTAACCTCGGCGAGATCCACATGAAGGTGTGATGGCGCGCTCAGCTGTCAGTAGCAGGAACTGTCAGTGTGACGCTCTCTCTGTGTGCTCAGGTACCGCTTCTGCCCCTGTTGGTGCTGGTTGTTATGACAGCGGCCGCCCTGGCAGTGTTCGCCGCTGCACAGAGCGCGTGTCTCCTCCGGTCCGACCTGGCGGCCCTCGCAGCGTCCCTCGTGGTGACGGGTATTCTCGGAGCGGGAACCGTAGCTCTGGGCTGGCCCACCGCCCCGTTGCCTCTGTTCGCCCTTCTGCTTGCTGTCCATACAATGATGCCCATCTCAAGGACTGTGTCTCTCATAGTGGCAGCGATCCTCACCATCGCACACCTCACGCTCGCCATCTGTTGGCGCCCGGAGTCTTCAGCCTTCTACACACAAGTAAGTGCGGAGCTGAACACTTTATTTAGTTACTCAAGAACTTACCAGAAGAAGGTTCATTACCGTGTTCACAAGAACCCTCGACTGGTTTCTTTCCAGTCCATACTACCCCATCATATTTCTATAAATTTCATTGTAATATTATCCACCCAACCATATCTTGGTTTTCCTAATGGTCTCTTTCCTTCTGCCTTATCCACCACTATTATTCCTCTTCTCCCCACTCGTGTTACATGTCCTGCCCATCTCATCCTTCTTGACTTGTTTTTTCCGATTATACTTGGTGAAGAGTGCAGGTTATGAATCTCCTCAATATGCAGTTTTCTGCAACCTCCTGTCACTTCATCTCTCTTCGGTCCAAATATTCTCAACACCCTGTTCTCAAACACCCTCAGTCTGTGTTCCTCCCTTAATGGCATTGTGGACCTAATAACTCTCTTCACCGTAAAAAATAGGCGTATTACGAAATGTCACAAAGAAAAAATATATAACTCAGAAATATTCTGTTCTTTGACTCGTTTTAACCTTACATCTCATTAAATTATATTTTCAATGCAAGTTTACCCAGAAGACAAGCAGTTAAGAAAACGGGTTCTTTTTTTACAATCTTAATACGTGTATTTTAATCATCTAGAAGGGAAGTATTGTGCAATATTATGATAGAGTTTGGGATACCCACGAAACTGATTAAAATGTGTTTAAATGAAAAGTATAGTAAAGTCCGTATGGGTAAACATTTGTCTAATAAATTTCGTATCCAGAATGGTCTAAGACAAGGAGATGCTCTGTTGCCACTCCTTTTCAACTTTGCTTTAGAATATGCCATTAGGAAGGTCCAGGAAAAACAGGTGGGACTGAAATGAAACGGGACAAATCAGCTGTTGGTCTATGCTGATGATGTGAATCTACTGGGTGATAATGTAGATACCATACAGAAAAACACATAAACTTTAATTGACGCAAGTAAAGAGGTTGGTCTAGAAATAAACACTGAGAAAACTAAGTATATGTTGCTGTCTCATCACCAAACTGNACATGGCAAAATCCTGACATAGAGATAGGAAACAGATGTTATGAAAATGTGACACAGTTCAGATATTTGGGAATGACGATGACAAATCAAAACCTGATTCAGGAGGAAATTAAGAGGAGANACCGAAGAGAGATGAAGTGACAGGAGGTTGGAGAAAACTGCATATTGAGGAGCTTCATAACTTGTACTCTTCTCCAAGTTTGATTAGAATGATCAAGTCAAGGAAAATGAGGTTTGCAGGGCATTTAGCACGAATGGGGGAGACGAGGAATGCATATAGGATATAGGTGGGAAAGCCAGAAAGAAAGAGTCCACTAGGAAGACCAAGACGTAGGTCGGTGAACAATATTAAGATGGAACTTAGAGAGAGAGAGAGAGAGAGAAAGAGAGGGTGGTGTGGTATAGACTGGATTGATCTGGCTCAGGATAGGGACCAGTGGAAGGCTCTTGTGAACACGATAAAGAACTTCCGGGTTCAATAAACTGCAAGGAAATTCTTGAGTAGCTGCAGAATTGGCGGCTCCTCAAAAAGGGCTCAGCTCCATGGGTGATTGAGTGAGTAATATTTTAATCTTTCGTCAGATTAGATTATTCATAACCAAAGGTCCGTCCGTCTCTCTGCCTGTCAGATTGTACTTTACAAGAAGTTATTATTAATTGCTGAACATGCTTGAACTTAGCCGGAAGCATATCTTTTGATGCAGGATCTGATATTCTCCACAGCAGTCTTATGAAGTGGGCAATCTTCAGTGTTTGCATTCTGTTCTTTATCATGATTGGTGGTACTTGACCGTCAACACAACAATAAAAATAAACCAATCAAACTGCTCAAATTGGTTTTATTTGATAGTTGCTATATGTTTCGGTCCGCATATGGGGCCATCTTCAGGCACTCTCGTCATATACATCTGTTGTTATCCATATTAGCACAGTTCAATAACAAGAGACGTATTTGATGAGACTGCTTGAAGATGGTTCCAAAATTTTGACCGAAACATGTAGCAATTATCAAATAAATCCAATATGAACATATCGATTGTTTTATTTTTATTGTGTTGACGGTCAAATGCCACCAACCAATTTTGGGGAAAAAATTCCATGTAATCCGTTGAAAGTAAACCGACGTAATATATCGCCTCCATATTTAGGCATCTCATATCCCTGGACCCGGAAGATGGAGTCGACATGTTCCTCCGAAATGTTGATTTAGTTTCAAAGGAATATATGCCGTTATGTCCCTTAAGACAGTTTTTTTCTTGTTTGTTGGTATTGATAGAGATGTGTATTCAGACAGCCCTGTTAACTGCTGTTGAATATTGTGACGTGCCGCCAGGAAGGCCGGACGATAACACGTCCATCACTGGTCAACGGCTAGCAATTCCTAGGCAGCAGTGCCTAGAGAGTCGTTGCTCCGGAGATGAAAGGCTAACACTGGGGTTTCCACCGTTATCTGCAGTCGCAGACGGAAACGAAAAGTTATTTGTTCGATCTTGACCAAATTCACGCTTTTATACTACGCCTAGAAATGAGTACATACCTGCCGATGCTCGAAAATTCGCTGCTGTGTTAATCTGGAAGTTCAGTATTGTGGGCACAAACTCCTGCACTGGGGTCTATTCTAATCAATTTTGATCCATTTCACATCCACATATTACGTATATTTTCTAACATCCTTTTTAATATTGTAATCACACCTACGAATGAGTCTCACAAAGTACATATAAGGTTTTCTGATTAAGATGTATGCATATGATACATGTATGCTACTTGTTCCACCCATTTCACTCAGTTTAGGAGACCCTAAGACTGAAAACATTATGAAACTGCTTGTTATGCAATTTCATCCATCCTGATATCACTTCCTGCCTGTTTCCCTCAGCGAGACTTAAGTTTCCCACCCTCAGAAAAGAACAGCGACTGATTACAGATTGTCTTGTGCTGCAGACTGGCGCCGAGGCGCTGTTCCTGCTGTGTGCAACTGGCGCTGGGCTGTATTACCGACACATGACAGAAGCCGCACACCACGACACATTCGTGGGAACGCGCACCTGCATTGAGTCGAGGGTAAAGCTGGAGTGTGAGAAGGAGCAGCAGGAGCAACTTCTGCTCAGCGTCATACCGGCCTACATTGCCGCCGAGGTGAGAATCCTCTTTTAACGGCCACAGCTCGGAATTCAGGTTTTCTGATATTTTTGTGGAGACAGTAGCATCAGAACTTCGGGTTTCCCTGCCAGTTCTCGCTTCGCTACGGACAGTGTAAGGTAAAATAGACATGGATTGCTCGCTCAGCCGCTTACATTGATTCGCTTGCTTGTCTTGAATTTTGAGAGCGCCAGGCGAGAACCACGAGATTGCATTATCAGAAATTTGTCGTCCTTCTTAAGGAATTACCCACAGGGCTACCAAAGCACTAGCGAAACATTTGTTGCACTTAAGTAGTCCTGTATGGCACCCTCTCAGTTTCAACAAAAGTGAAAGTTGCTTTACCATTTGCAACGTCTGTCTCCTTACTGTCCCTGTTTTTACATTATATAACCACACGCTGAATTGTTCTGATCATTTCTGTGGGTTTAATGACGTGTGATTAGTGAACAGTGAACTGGAAAGTACGTCCTGACATTTGTCTGGAGCAGGCCGAGCTCCTCGCTGAGATCTGAACCTCAGACCTCCACAGTGAGAAACTAGGTCGCTGCTCGCCTCACCGCAACGTTCGACACGTCAGTTTTACGTGGGTAAGTCAATAAGTAAGTTACAAATGGATATAGAACTTAAACAAATAAAATTAATGATTTGAATAATGCTTTTATTTCTCAACATAATCTCCCTGTACATTGAGGCACTTGTCCCATCGTTTTCACAAGCCCCTGAAAACCAGCAGCATAATATTCTTAGGGCTGATGACGGAACCATGACGGAGCAAGGTCGGGGCTATACGAAGGATTCTCGAGGACTTCCCACTTGAAATTTCGCAGGGTCTCATTTGTCTTGTTGGCAGTATGGGGACGTGCGTTGTCATGCAAGAACAACACGCCTTTGGTGAGGAATCCTGGTCGCTTCCGTTGAATGGCCTTACGAAGTTTCCTGAGGATGTTACAGTAGGAGTTGGCATTTACGGTTTCTCCTTCAGGCTGGAATGCGTTGAGCAGTATGCCTTCGTGATCCCAGAAGACTGTGAGCATCACTTTACTGGAGGATGGTGTCACCTTAAACTTTGTTTTGGAAGGCGACGCAGGATGTTTCCACTGCACTGACGCACGCTTTCTCTCGGGCTGGTAATGGTGAACCCAAGACTCATCACCTGAGACAATTCGGGCTAGCATATCGTGTCCGTCATCGTGGTAGCGATTGAAATGCCGTAATGGCAGACCCATTCTGTGCATTTTGTGTTGTGGGGTCAGCATGCGCGGCACCCATCGTGCATAGACTTTGTGAAAACCTAATCTGTCATGCATTATGAGGTAGGCCATCCCGTGTGAACAACCAATAGCAGTGGCTGTAGTGTCTATAGTTACCCTGCTGTCTGCTCGGATTAAGTCTTCAACCCGTTGGACATTCGCCTCTGTGGCAATCTCCGTTGGCCGGCCGACGCGGTGTTCGTCTTCGATACGTGTCCGCCCTTCAGAGAACTTCAGCACCCAATTGTAAACAGCCTGACGTGACAGACACTTCTCACCGTAGATAGGAAGCATTTCTTTATAAATATTCTTTGATTCCATACCTTTTGCTCACAAAAATCGCACAACGGAGCGCTGCTCGAGGGTTGTACCCTCACTCAGAGGCGCCACCATCTTGCAACTGCTGTTTCGCTTTTGTAAACATCGACTGTCTCGTGTCGAATGTCTTCAATTGCCACCGGATTAATGCTGCCACCTAGTGGCGATAACCTCAAATGCCTCATCCAAACATGAAGTACCCCACATCAGCTTGTAACTTACTTATTGACTCACCTACGTATTTCCTTTCTCCATTTCTGTGTGTTAGTTTAGCGACGTTTCCTCAGCTACGTACATTAGGGCTACGTCAAAATTAATGGAGTGGTGATTGTGAATCAGGATTTGGGGAGGAAGTTGTAACGGCCTTTTTTTTATATACAGAGTGTAAGAAGGAAAAGCATACCATTCTGCTGTAACACTGGATGAACTAAAAGGTGTCGGAAAGAAATCCAGACGAATTCGATTAAGTGATCGAGTTTATGTCTCCTGTATTTCGCGGTTTGTCCGAATCTTGGGCCTGTATTCTCACTTTCAGCGCACAGAAGCAAACTGTAACCGCTACAGCTGTTACCCTGCCAGCAGAGCGGCAGCCACTATAGCACGTACACATCACCGCTGATGATGTACCCCAAGGAGTGATGTCAGGCTTAGGAGATGGCTAAGTGATGGGCCCACCCCTTCCAATCCGTCTATCTTGAATCTTGCAACTTCAGAAGCCCTTCGTTTCCCTACGGAATGCGTCTTGTTGAAGTATCATGCCATCGAGAAGCTCTCTTGATGTCTGCGGCATGTTTGTCGGGCACCTTGCCCGCGTGAATGACGTCCACAGAAACAGTGCCACCTGAGATTCAACGTTTGGTTGTCTCCTCCAGCGTTTTTCCTTTACAAATGCAACCAAACTGATCACACAGTTGACGTCACTTCTAAACCGACATTTCCAGGTGCCTTTGCGCTGTAACCTGACACGTAGAGTTCTGGAGTCGCAGCTCACGATTGGCTCTTCATTCTTGAGACATAATTTTTACAACCGAGAGGATAGTGCTTGAAATGGTAACAATTTTATAACTCAAGTGACTCGCGTTACAAACTAGAATGCATAAAGAAATGTAAAGCTATCCCCGTAACAGGCCGTGGAAGTCCATATGGTTGTGAGACGTCGAGGCCCCAACATATTCTAGACAATCGGCTCACAGATGGCCTTGAGGTTGTGAGCCTTAGGCGCCAGCCGCCCTTTACCCCCAAGAAGATTCCTGGTACTCATTTCTGTTAGAAGCTGAGTCGAACCCAGGTCTATAGTGCTGCTGGAAATATTAAGTCAATTGAAAAATTCGATGATCTCATCGGGAATCAAACTGGCGACCTTCCGGCTTGTAGCATAGTGCCTCAAGTGTCCCAACTAGATCGAATAACCTACTCATGTGCATCTGCTCTTTATTTCTGTGGCTTTCATTTCATGAGCACGGCAAGTTTCATACCTACAGTCTACTCTGCATTATTCCAGGACTCTTGTGTAGTCAGAATAGCTGGAATTCGAACTCTTGGAATTTCAGTTACGAATCAGATGTGATGGTTTACACAAAGTTTTATTTTGCCCTGAAGCTGCTCATTAACAGAGGACGCTACCGTAAATCAACAAATTGATCCCTTTTAGCATGTGCATTACATTCAGCCACTCTGTCTGACAACAACAAAATATTAAGTAAAGAAAGTTGTCTTCTGGGTTTAGGCACCGTGTATTCTTCGNCTAGACAAAACTTTATTACAGTTTCCGACGAGTTGCTGACAGACATTGCAAGCTGAAGTTGAGCCTCTGACATGATACTAAGTTACAACACAGCTCGCAGTACTTAATATTTTGTGAAGTTAAATGAACTTCTAAACTAATTCACAAGCAATCCTGCAATATTCTCGAATTTCTATTACCATCGAACAAATAAATGTCGTTATTAATCGACTCACAGCATGTTTCGGCCCAGATACGCCATCTTCAGGTGATTCTTGAGGAATATGCAAATGAAGGAAGAGTACTTGTACGTTTCTGTTAGTTAAAATTGAGAACAAAACGGTCTTAATGCTAAATTTTAGAATTAAGATGAGACACACATTAAAACTAAAAAAAAAGTATGAACACAGAAAGCTCCGGAAACACAATAAAAACGGAACATCTTACCAACACAAGTCCAGCTTCAAAGAAGTCCAAGAACCACATTTTATACTGGTCTTCTCTTTGCATTGATTCAGTTTAATTTCTTAAACATTTAATAAGCATGTCTAACCATGATTTTAAAAGACTATTATGTCATGTCTGCTGAAAGCCAGAATTGTGAAGCCAGCATAGACATCCGTTGTTAAGGAATGGTTCTGCAAACACGCCCGTTGCTAGGCAGTGATCGCAACAGATAAGTATGCAACAATAGAAGAGCTGTCGGAAGTGATGTTCTCTTTGCGGTCCGTGTATATTCATAGGACACAAACCGATTCTCTCCTTAGATAGGATATTACGTAAGGACCATTACCGCAAGGGTTCAGTTGAAACAGTCTCTCTCGTCATGAGTGTTAAGGGGCTTGACGCCAAGATGAACTGATTGGCACGAAACTGCCAGTGTAAAGCAACTCTGATTCTAACTCTTGAGTCTTGAGACGGCAGTTAGAAGAGAAGGAGGTCGGTGTGAGATGGCCGTCAGCCTGCGAAGACGTGAACCCGGGAGCAGAGGAACGTCCACTGTTGGAAGCCGCTACCAAGCAGCGTAATGAAGACCGTGACTGAGAACATTAGTCTGTGTGTCACAGTGGTCTGTACAGTGTAGTCACGAGTTATGTGTTAAAGTGTCCAGTAAATACGATTACCAATTCTAACACCCTCTTTCGTCACTCCAACACGTGGCAGTATTAATTTGGGTCCGACACAATTTTAACTAACAAAAATTTGATATAAGTTTATATGTATTCCGTCACCATTTGTGTATGACACAAGTATCACCTGAAGATGGCCTATCTGGGCCGAAACATGTTGTGAGTCGAGTAATAAAGACATTTGTTTGTGTCGCTGTACCCCCTCGATTTTTAGTTGTGAGCACCACAAACAGGATGCAACACAACAAGATTCTCAACATTTCGCTTTTCGCTCGTTTACCCGCCACAGTTTCGCTTTCGTTAGTGTACCTAACTAACGAACTAACTCCAAGGATCTGTTAGCTATATATATGTTATGAATTTCCTATGCATTCTGGTGACGAGACATCAACTTATACTTGGTTCTCTCTGTGTTTACTTCTAGACCAATCTCCTTACTAGAGTCAATTAGAGTTTCTGTGTTTTTCTTTATGGTACCTATGTTATCTCCCAGTAGATTCAGATCATCAGCATAGACCATTTAATTTCAATCGTACTTGGTTTTCCTGGATCAGCCTAATGGCATATCGTAAA